TTTTGAGGTTGGCGTCGATACCTTGAACAGTGTCAGCAAGCAGAAGCAGTCAGAATGTCCGAATTACCCGCGACAAAAATCTCGGCAGGAAGATGTTCTGCGAGACCTGCCATGGCAGCTGTGAATCGTTTCTGTCGCAACTCGTTTCCAGGCTCTGCGAACCAGTCCCACATCTTACTTTCTGTCTTGAATGCAGTGTTGAAAGGTGGAATAACAGGGTTTTGGATGAATCCGGAAACATGGGACGCAACGGGAAGGATGTCAGCGCTAGGATATATAAGATCACTACCAGATTGAGCCTGAAGAATCAGTGACATACTATTGAGAGACAAAAGCCGCCATGGGTGCACCCTCGAATCGAGACTCAGTGCTGTGAAAGCTCCGATTAATTATTGCGAAAAGATGCCCCAGATCACTGACTCTGCTTTGATTTCTTGCACAGTCTTTCGCTTTTTGAGAAGCGAAGAGATCCGGTTATTGGTGAAGACATTTGGTGCGACCTCTTTGTAGATGTGACGCGTCGCGAGATATCGAAGGATTCGGCCTAGAAAACCTCGAGAATTGGAGAAGCTCGGCAAAAATAAGAGCGCGGACCTATATACGACGCGTCGACGCCATTGATAGCTGAAACATCGTCCAGATGCATTCCCTGTGCCACATTTGATCAGTCTTGTTTAATCATGTCAGGATGTTTGCTTACCGTCGCTGGTCCTTCGGCTAGGATATCAGAAACATGAAGCTCTTCGACCAGTGCAAGATTGGTTGTCGTGAAAAGTGCTGTGGACTCTTCCATGAGAAACTCGGGCGGCGAGCGCACTGTTGCAATGAGCTGGGAAGCGGCGGCTACAATGAGACGCCTAGCTTCATTCAGCTTTGGGTCAAAGTCCAACGGCGACGGCTGGAAAGGCTCATCAAGAGAAGGAAAAAAGATCTGGCTCTTTGAGTATCCGGACTCGAGAGTTTCGACCTGCGCAGAGATCAAAGTGACCAGTGCGCGAAGTGGGCTTGTCATGTTGAGATGATTGAACGAAGCACCCGACCAGTCTTTTATACCAGGGGACCTGCATAGTACGACGTAATCTGATAATCAATATCTGATAAGATATTCTGGGCAAGCCGGCCTGGGATACGAAACGAAGCTTGCTCGATTAGGTCCAATTTTGAGATGAATCGTAATCCTGATGTGTCCTAGGATCTTTTAGAAGGATTCAGATAGGATATTTATGCAATGTGGACAGCGCTAAGACTCACGAAAGCACTATCCTTCCAAATCGTTCAAGTTGTTCCATCTCATAATCCATATGACGCGGCGGCGCGAAACCCCAGCCGAGCTACTGCGGGAGCCCCGATGACCTGAAGGTTATGACACGGGCCTGAAGCTCAGAGAAGTAACGAAAGGAACTTACAGAAACCACAACAAGTGTCAAGACGTATTTGTCAATTCGTCGGAGAAACCAGTCCCCAATTTTTAGCAAGGCAAAGGCTCGTTGGCATGCTCCTCAGACTCGAATCAGCATGAACGACTTTTTAGTTATCGAGCAACCAGGAAGTCGCGACGACCGCCTATAATGTCTGACCAAGATGCATTCGGTTGCATCGACTTGGCATTTTAACCCTAGTTGAACTGGCCGCGAAGAAACCAAAGAATACGTGGGTGTGTCAAAGCTCCAAAGGCTTTGTGCATAGAGAGAACAGGTCTTCCGGAAAGATGAGATTCATCTCAAAAAGCATATGCCAGAGACAGACGCACCTTCGTATTGTCTTTCGTTCATGTTTGTCGTCTCGTGGTAACCAGCTCCGAGGAGGGTCTGCTCATTGGTTCGGACGACAAAGGCGACCGTTTTGTACAAGAAACATTTGAACAGACTGAGGTTTGAATCAGGACCAAGGTCAATTGAGGAGGCGAACAGAACCTTGGCAATTTGCCATTTGCCTCGGCGCCTTGTCCTTGCTATAGGACTGGCTGCTGGAACAAAAAGGACAGAAGGCCTCGCAATGATTATTTCGTATATCACGAACCATCAGCTCGTCCCTAATGTCAAACGACCATGTCCACCAAGCGTTGAGACAAAAGCTGACGATAAAATGAACATCGAGGTGAAAGAAGGTCCTAGTTTGTGCCTTTGCACTATCTGAAGGATTGTCAGGCGATTTGCACCGTCTTGTAACCCATTATCCAACGTCTTGATAATTCGTGGCGTACAGACAATACTGACGCGTCTACGCCACCTCCACTCCCAACGAAACCCAACTCTAAATCAAAAACAATCAGAACAAGTCCACCAGACTTCAAGATATTGCAAGACTGACCAAATCTTCAGATGAACGTCTGTTCCCCTTTGCTATGCCACCGTGGCGAATAACAGCGGAGGATTACCCCACCGGGAAAAGTGAGGATACTAGGGGGAAAAGAAACGAGAAAGCAGCGCGCGTGCACCGGGAGAAATATGATGAGCTCATGAATTCCCCAAGGCACTTGGCCATCTATACGGATGGATCAGCGCAAAGGACAGAAAAAAAGACGAGAAGCGGGATTGGAGTCGTTGCTTACCATCGCGGACAAGAAGTCTTCTGCCGCAGCATGAGCTTAGGAAAGAAAGCTGACCCCTACGACGCCGAGGTCGCGGCGCTCAGCACGGCAGCAACGCTGGCTTCCAGCTTTGTTGAATCCCACCCCCAGATCTCCCATCTCCACTTCTTCACCGACAATGCTTCTGCCATCGACACCGTCTTTGCCCCGAGTGCCAAACCAGGCCAACAATTCGCGCAGATTTTCTACAACAAGATCAGAAGCTTTCTCGATGCAGTACCACAAAACTAGGTCGACATTACCTGGATACCAAGCCACAGTGACATCGAAGGGAATGAGCATGCGGATGGTCTGGCGAAAGAAGGAGCGAAGCAGCTGGGAAAGAAACCACAGCCGCTACCCGGATGCTGAAAGAGAAAACGGCGAAAGCTTGGCGGAAAGAATGGAAAGCAAAGGAAAAGTTTGGCCGCTTCTTCATGGCGAACCAGATACCACCGTCTTTGAAACCAACGAAACATTTCATCGAATTGGAAGGGAAACGAGAGGTCTTTGGACGATGCAGGACTGGACATGGATTCATCGGGGAGTACTATTCCAAATTCGCTCCTAGCGAGAGCACTGACTGCACTGTTTGCGGCGACAGATTCCAGACCAGGGAGCATATCTTGAAGGATTACCCTGAGTACGAATGGGATAGAGACATTGCATTGCCGACAATAATGGGTACAAAGAATGGCTTTAGCGGAATTCATCGAAAAGTCTGGAGACTGGAAAACCGCGAAAGCACCAGGATATGCCAACGCTCGAGGAGGAACCGGAACCGGTTGAGAGAGACGAGCCTGAAGAAGACGAACAGGATGAGGACGAGGATGCGAGAGGAGAAGGATGATGACGCGCCTCACGAAAGCATCTCCAAGACCGACACGCCCGCGAGCATCTCGCTTGCAAATCTCCTTCAGGTTCAGCTCCCAGCTCTTCTGCCCGCCGACCTGACCAACAACCCATAAATCCACCAGCTCCTCCACGAATGTTGTTACTTGTTGCGGAATATAAATGCCCAGATTACAAACAAAAAAAAAGGTCGTTGCCCCAGATGGAGACCTGAAATAATAACAATCGGACTTGCAGTTACTTTGAGCAGCGTTGCAGCCACGAAATGTGACGCGCGATCGGCCTGTCCCACGGATATAGTTGGAGGTCCGTGACGCCTTGGATTCCACTGCGGATTCCGCAGCAAAAAATAGCACGTGGTCGTATCATGTCTAGCATCCTCGCCCTTGACAACTTTTCGCTGGAGCCACTGTCACCCAATGCTTCTCCATCTCGCGTGCAAACACGACGCTCTCTGTATGCCGCGATTGAAAATTTTGGAAAGAGAGCGACAGAATGGCGCAAAAGGGAACATTTCCATGTAGAAGAAGAAGAGACACCCGAGCCACCCAAGAAGAAACCCAAAACCTCCAACTCTAGCGCCGCCCTTGCCCTTCGCCTGAAATCTCTCACCAAACGGAAAACCCCCTTCACAGCACAAGAATTTCTTCAGTCTATCCTCACTTCTTTCCATCCCGTTCACGGCAAAAAGGACATGTACGAAACCCAAGCACTTGTCAGTCTGTCGTGCGGCTATTCCGACGAGAAATCCAACATCATCACGGTTGCCAGAGAGCTGAGAGAGGCTCACGAGTTTGACAGGGAAGACTTTTATGCGAATTGCAAGCAGGCAGACGGAGTCATCGAGGACGAGGAAATGCTGCTACTCCTGCATCAGCAATTCCAAACCGTTTGCGCTAGCGACAGCGTCTCTCGCTACGTCCACTATCTGCTGACGGCTGTTGCGACAGTCAAATTCATGACAATGTGGCAGGCTTTGGACGAGATGGGCGAAGGTGGCAAAAGGACCAAGACGGAGCACATCGAGCAGGCTTTCGCGAACGACAAGCCGCTGTTGGTCGACAATGAAGCTGAGAGAAGAGCCTATCGGGATAACCATGCAAAGATCATTACCCAGCGACGCATCTTGTACGATGCTTTCCAAAAAGTGCGTCGCAGTTTTTTTTTCGCTTTATAATGCTCACGGATCTCAGTGCGGGTCTGCTGTTCTTCTCAATCCATTCTGGCACCCGATGCATCTGACAGAAGCCAAGCGCCCAGTCACTCGCTCGAACCCTTTCAAAGCTACATTCACTGCATTATTAGAGGAAATCAATCCTAATCATTCTGATACGAGCTCGCAGATGCTATTTCAAGTGTTGGATGTAATTGACGGAAAGCTGGCAGTATTTATTCGAGACTTTGTAGAACAATACATGTAGCAAAAAGGGGGCGCACTGAGACTCGAACTCAGGACCTCTCGCAATGAACCACACCCAAAGCGAGAATCGTAACCCCTAGACCATGCGCCCATACAGCGCTCTGACAGAAAGCGATTCTCATTTGTACTAAAAAAAAACAACGGACATGTAACAAAAAGGGGGTGCACTGAGAATCGAACTCAGGACCTCTCGCAATGAACCACACCCAAAGCGAGAATCGTAACCCCTAGACCATGCACCCATACAAAACACAGGACGACGCTCCAACAGAAAGCGATTCTCATTTGTACTAGTAGTTAAAAAAAAACAACGTTTACAGCGAAGCCTATTATTCTACTGGTACCAAAAAACGACGTTTAATAGGTCCTCGATGTTCCCTGAAGAAATCAAACATTTCGGAAAAAGTCGCCGATAATTCCTGAAAAAGCTCAGTCAGCGCCAGGAAAGATAACAAACTGCTCACAGGTTCAGCTTCCAAGTATCGTAACATTGCGCCTTCCCTCGCGAGAATATAGTTGATAGCCGACGGCGACGGGACGAGACAATCTGCGGGGACTGGATTCTGCCGAACAGTGCTCTTGGTCACTGTATGAGCCTCGTGCATGAGCTTGTACTTTTCAGAGTCGCAACACTGGTCGGACAAGCAGTGAAATTGAACATCGTCAACCGTACTCGCTCTGAAAACAGTTGGCGATGGACGATGAAGCGAATGAAAAAGCTTACTCAAATGGACAGGTCGCACTGGGACACTGAAAGACCTCCGGCTTCGTCGTATACATGGACAAGGCGAGGTCAAACCAATCTGTATGAATTCCTTCCCTGAAAAAAAAAAGATTCAGCTGATGATATACGATGCTAGACTGCGACTCACCGATGACGATTGAGAGTTTGTCGCGTACTAAACTCTTTTTGGAGCTTGGGGCTATGGACCATAGATACACAGGTACCGCAAATCCATTTTCCATCAGTCTCCTGGTAACAAAGTGAGAAGATGAATGAAAGCGAAGCAATGGCCCTTACCTTCAAGTCATCACCAGCCTTGGCTCGAATAGCAAGCAGATGTTTCGCAAAAAGGTATCGCACGAGACTGGCATTGACCGCGGTCGAAGGCGGAGTCCCAGATTCTTCTTCTGCCTCTGCAGCACCATAGAGCTCGATGGAATCTGCATCATCGGGCCCTCGACGCTTTTCGTCATACTTTTTGACCAGTATCAACATCTTCTTGGCACCATGTTCGAGGGTACCAGGCTCGGGAGGCGCTTCTTCGTCATCAGTGTCGAGTTCACAGAGCTCGGGCTCGGGAGTTTCCAGGGATATTTCAGGTTCAGCATCCTCAACGAGTGTCGATGTGGAAGAGACGACGGAGGCTGAAGAATTCGGAGGTCGAGAGGCGGAGGAAGCGGAAGCGGAAGAAGCGGAGGTGGAAGAAGCGGAAGCGGAAGAAGCGGAAATCGTCGGTCTCTGGGCAATGGCTTTTTGCATTCTTTCCATCGCCTGGGCACGGTTAGAAGCTGCGCCAGCTGCAGCAACCTGCTCTTGCGCTAAAGCTTCCGAGAAAAGATGGTCCTTTGAGCGATCACCCGATTCGACGGATTCGACGATCAACTCTGAAGGCAGGTTGAGAGACTGAAGTGCTGACTGACGCTGTTGAACAGTCCCGAGACCACGGTTCTGCAGCATCGGGGTTCTTTTGGCGGCCTTTTTGTTCTTTTTGTTCTTGCTGAGACGCCTTTTCTCGGCGCTGGTCGCAGCAGCGGTCTTTTTCACGGCAGCGATAGCCTGAAAAGAGAGTTGATCAGGTGGCCCAGGTAAAAGATTCAGACTTGCCTCATTATCCTGGTCTTCTGTCGTCTCCTCGAGCCTCTCGGTGACGGTTAGGAATGCTGCGAGACTATTGGCGGTCGTGTAAGCTCCTTTGCCGGTCGGAGTGCTGCGAAGCTTTTTGAGCGCCGTCCATGCGCTTGCCTCGGCGGCCAGAAAAGGCGCGAGCTCCTTTGAACTGGCGATCTCTGCTTTGTCTTCTGGTGTAAGAATCACTGCAGCAGGCGCATGGGCTGCTGTCGTTGGACGTTGGCGCTGTGGCGCTTGTTCGACGACGTGAAGGTTGGCGAGATAGGTAACCGCGGTGACAGCGGAGCCGTACATGTCATTGATTGTCAATTTGTCCTGAAAAAAAGGATTCACTTGGTGTTCAAGAAGAGCGACGAATACTGACCTTGACCAATTCACTCCATTCCTCTTCTTGTTCACCGAGCATGTACTTTACAACATCGACGTTGACGACTCCAGCACCATCCTGATAGTCGGCCATATGTCCCTTTTGTCCATGGACGAACAAATTATCGGCAAAGTCCTTGCCCATCGTGGCATTGTACTGAAGAAAAAGAGTCAGCGAGTTCAAGTGGCAGTTGGAGAGACGTACAAAATCGGCTGTACCCTTGCGAAGCGACCTGACACCTGCCGGCGGCAATCCAGCGCTGATGCAAGCTTCGTGGAGGTGCTCGCTGATGCTGTCACCCATGGCCGGTTTGCCTTCGACGAGTCCACGGCCACCAGAGGTCCCAGCCAAGAATCTGCATAAATCTCAGAAAAGAAGAATGCAGCAAAAAGGACTGACATTGGTAAACCCTTCATGTTTTCCTTGATCGGAATCTCCGCATTCTTCACGTACAGCAGGTCATCAAACTTTGTGATTCCCTCCAAGGCTCCGCGGAAGAAAAGGTGCAATACCCACCAGAGCGAGATATCATGCAAGATGTTGTACCAGTTGATGACCGAGCGAAAGGTCGCGATGAATTCGTGACCTTTGTTTCCGTTGTGGTACTGTCGAGATATCAGCGAAGAAAAGTCGAGATGAAGAAGCTTACTTTAAAGTGCTGATACGTGACCTTGACGTCGAATTTGAGCAGGCCATAACTGTAGACTTTGACATCTTTAAGTTTGGGGAACTGCGTAACAGTCAATGAGCATCGCTTGAACAAAGACAATCACGTACTTTGCCTTCCTTTAGGTATTTGGCGTTCGAGGGACCTTGGGAGCCTCCGCGTAAACCGAGGTACAATGACGACAAGAGCTGGGTCGCAAACTGGGCTACGTTGGCGATGCTGCGAGGACCGTTTCCGAGGGCTTCACCGATAACAGTCTCGAGGATAAGTTTGACCTCTCGAAGCCCAAAGCGCTCCTGGGGGTCACGGTATCGGTCGAGATTGTACTCTTCGCCCACTGAAAATACTTTAGCGAAGAAAAATAAAACAATGATAACTCACGAGATTTTATCAGCAGAGTATTTCTTTCTGATAGACCTCCATCGGTCAACAGTTTCATGCCGCATTTCCGTCCAGCGTCGTCGTGACAATACATGATTATGCACGAGTGCAGATTCGACATCCAAAGCTCCAATGTATCAAACTTGACATGGGCGCGATTTTTGGATCCACGGGTGGTGAGAAGAACACATTTGAAGAAAATGGTGCAAAACTCGTCAATCGTGTCGGTATGCCAGCATTGCTCGATGGTCATTTCCGGGTGAATGGAGCGACAGATGGTGACCCAGCGTCTGGCAACCTGTCGATATTTTCGAGCGGTGTCTGGAGCAGCGAGCGCTGCGAGATTCTTGTCGGTCTCCTTGCACCCTGCAGTGAAGGAAGCGAGCTTGTCGGGATCCGCCTTGAGAGCAGCCAAAAAGCTTTTCAGCCCAGGATTGTGCCTGGGATTCGATATCGAGGCCTCCAGATCATCTTTGTCGGGGAGCTGGGCAAGAGGAGCGGCGTGAAGATCCTTTCGGGGAATGTCAGGGTGAAGCTGAAGGGCGGGATCACTGGGCAAAGGCCTTTCTGCGTCTCGCTGCCAAATTCGCTGATAGGTCGACATCTAAAAGACAATGAGAAGGAAAGACGACGCTAAGCCTCACAAAGAGAAATTCCCACGGACCTCGGCCGAGCTTCCGAGTTTGAGCGCTGCAGTGGAATCACATGACCGTATTACTTTTTCATTATGGACGGCGGCAAAAGAAATCGTCTCCCCAATTCTCCTGTGGCATCGACCAGTAAAAAGGCTCGGTAAATCGATGCGTTTCTCTTGGTGGCTGTCTCTGATTTGTAGACGGGACGATGATGACTTTATCGACTATGACGACGAGGTGCCGAGGCCACGACCAAGAAAATCCAGAGCGCGACAGCCAGTCGATGAATCCACGTATGTTTTCTTCTACTACAATTACACAAGGCTGACATGTACCAGGATGGTCGTGGACAGGCCCAACGTTGAAAAGTGAGATATTCCCTGCCTGGTCGAACGCGACTGACGTTCTGCTAGACCCAAGTCAACTTTATATTCCCTTTTTTTCCCCCTGTTGACACGGGTCTGCGCAGGCCGAAACCGAGAAAAAAGGCGGAACAGAACCCGGACGCTGAAGAGGACATCAAAGAGCTTGTTGCTATGCTGACACCGTTTGCAGTCCATCTCAAGAATCTGCGCGTCGACCGTGAACGTGAAGAACAGGCTACCATCAAGGCGAAATTGGAACTGGAACTGCAGGAGACTATCAATGTGAAAATGCGGGCTGCTCAATTGGAGGAAGAAAAGGCGCTGTTCAAAAATCAACAGGATTTATTCGGGTCGTTGGAATCGGATCCGAAAAAGCTGGAGCGGAAGATGGAGGCGATGAGGATCCACAACGAAGGGCTCAAGTTGACGATTCGGAAACAGGAACTGGAACTGGAGCTTCGCCAGGATTTAGCTGAAGAGGCTGCAAAAACTTGATGGTGCGTTGCTTTTCTTGCTGATTGACACGGCCTGACTTGCTTTAGGAATATTATTTGCACTGGCTCGTCTCTCGCACGCATTGTCTCTCAGATCTCTCTCGCACGCATTCCAAGCATCGTAAATATCGCATCGCATCGCACGTCTGTATCTCGCTCGTATTGTATCAGCATCGTAGAATTATATCGCGATACCCGAATGAAGGCGGCGGCCGCGAAGAGCGAGTGAAGCGAGCTTACGGAGCTTACGAAGGGCGAGCTTACGAAGCTTACGAGAGCTTACGGCGGGTGAGCTTACGATCTGCGCCTAGTAAGGAGCTTGAACCGGCCTATATGCTCGGAGGCCCCGGGTTCAAACCCCGGTCAGGCCCGCTCTTTTTGCCGCAGGCGGCCTTTTTTTTTTTTTTTTTTTTTTCAAGTCCACTTTCAGCTACATATATACGCTCGCACTCGGGATGGAACTTGGGAACTCGCATAAAAT